TGGCGGGGGCCGCAGCGCGGCCGTAGCCGGGCTGTGCGCTGGGGATGGGGGGAGGCCGCCTGCTGTGCTCGCCCGTCATGCGCAGCCGTCATAAAATTTCTTAAATACATTAAATATCGCATGGTCGTAGCAAATATCGCCTGCAAAAGCTTACGGCACTGCACTCGCACAGAGTAACGCAGTGGGGAGTATGGAGCAGCCATACATATAAGCCTTGGGGTAGCCCATAAAATAAGAAAATGCTATTTTGTTAAACCATATAAAGAGAATCATCACTTGGGAATCCTTCCTAAGCAAATAGAACACAAGTATTTGTGTTTTTCTCTCCTTGAGGGGGGAGAGACTTTAAAAGTCTGATACTGTTTTTGCAACCAGCTTCAAGTGTGCCTTTCTCAGGCGACTAATGGCGCAGCAAATGTTTTGTCTGATGAGATGATACATTAATGCAGGAGGTTTTTTTTAAACACCTGTATCAGCTGGTGCCCATGTCCGGCCGAGGCAAGGATTCAAGTGCACGTGCAAGGCTCCTGAAGTGCTCTGCATTCCTATCTACAGACACAAAGATGTAATGACATCTTTAGAAGAAACAAATGCCAACAGAAGTTTGAGAATTAAGCTACTGAAATATTGCATGGTTTGGCGCAGTTTTAGGCGTTAACGTGAATTACATTGGTGCATGTCAAGAATGGTAGCAGCACTTTTGTGTTTCTTCTGAATAATAAAAGCATAATCTGTTGTCTGTAGCAGCAGAGAGAACACAGAACAGACCACACAACACTAACCTGCAGCAACTACCCATATAAATCATCTGACAAACTGCCGGTTTTTCTTTTGAAACAAGGTTATCACAGAGGATTGTTTGAAAAAGCATTAGAAGACCGCTCGGGAGAACAAGTCTCAGGTCTGCTACTTCTCTGTTCCAGCTATATTTGTCATGTAGTAGAGGTAAGTTACATAAATTCCTAGTGGGATCAAGTAACCTTGATTCATCTTTGTACAAATTTGGCTTCTAAGATCCAGCTAACTACAAATATAGAACCATTTCTTACTCCATACATAGGCTTAAAGACCTGAATAACGCTGTGGTGGATTCAGCAGCTTACCTCTGGGATTTGCTCCACCCAGTGTTTCAGATAACTGCCCCAGAACTTTATTCTGAGAGAATTAAATGTCACGTTCTGTCAGACGTAATAGGAACCATGTGCGTTGTCCTCAGCGCCTGTGACTCAAAGGGAAAGCCCATGTAGGGCAGCTGACGAATTATTTTTATAGTCACAAATTAATTTGTAATCTGCAATTCTGTAACGTTTCTACCCTTTCCTCTGCAGTCATGCAGTAGCACCATCCATCTCATCATCCAAGATTTAGCTTCTCTCCAAAATCAAGGCCCTAAGTAAGTTTCATATCATTTAGATGAAACAAAATTTTAGCAGAAGTGGTTGAATGCTTCCTTGAGGTTAAATGAACATTAACTACCATTATATCAAGCTTTTATTCTTCCACTGAGTACCTGTTGACCATGGAGGAGTGGACATTTTCCAGCTAACGTGACACATTTTTACTGGATGCGGTCAGCAGCTGCCAGCAGGCTCTTGCCCAGCCCTTGGCATTGGAGTCCATCTTCAAGGTGGCGAGACTTCAACTGTCAACAGCCTTCATAGGTTTCAGAAAATAGGAAAATTCCTTCCTTAGGAATCTGCTGTATGGTTTCTGTACCCTGCTTTGTAAACATTTGTAGCTGTATATACTGAAATTTCAAAAATTATCTTCAGAGTATTAGTCACTGCATTCCCGCCTGCTGTTTGTCCTTTCAACACTACCCAAGCAGCCCCACAGACTTCGGCCAATTACTGTCTTTCGCTTAACCTGGCTGTTTCTCTAGGGCCCTGTATTAATTCACTGAAATCCAGGTTCACGACAGCGGCATCGTTTTCTTTGGTATGAATGGAATTCTTATCAAAGCAAGCTACAATCACACTCCTGTGTTTGCTTATTAAATCCCTACTGCTCTTTTGCTCGTTTATTACCCTCACATCCAACAGGTCCGCTCAAGACCCTTGCACAGTACATCAGAGTACAATTAGAGGTTTCCGCTGGCTGTGGTGGGAGGGGTGCACCATGCTGTATGTATACAAGGCTCTACCACAGCTCTAGGAATGCAAACAACTCACTGCGTAGTTTATGAAACTTGACCATCTGATAAAAACTCCTTGCTGTACTTTAGGATGGAATTCACTCTCTTTCCATGCAGTGCTTTACTCCAGGAAATTAAAGTTTTAGTGGTAGCACATAACATTCCCACCAGACTGTTCCCCGACTGGTACGTGGCAATAGCAACGTCTCCCGTGACATGTCCACAAGGCTCAATGCAGTCGGAGTCTACGGCAGAGGTGGTGGCAGAGTGCCTTACCCTCCTACTCAAACTGGCAGCCTGCATTCAGAGCGTCGAGGTAAACTTCAAAAAACTGGGCTATAAGAAATTTACCTAGTTTATCCCCATAAATCCCCCCCAAACGCCACCAGCAAGCAGCCACGCTTATCTTTCCAGCAGAGTTTACAGGCATATATACCTGAGAGGACTCTAGAAGCTGAGTTACAGCATTACAAAACCTCATTATTTTATTCCAAGTTTCTTTCTAGACCTCTGTAGGGTTATTTTGTGCAGCCACTTGATTGAACTAATCAACTGCACCAACATAGCTTAAAGCCAGCTGAAAGCCACTCACAAAGCTGATACCTTACATCGCCCGCTACCCCTGCCCACTGCTGCGCACTCTTAGGAACAGAGCATGTTTTTGGTAAACAACAGTGTAACTCCAGCTCTGCTGTTTTGGGCAAATTTCCTCAACTTTAACTGTGTCATAGGCCTGTGCTCTTACTGTTACTGCACTGACACGTGCTGTTTATTATCAAGGATGACAGTGAGGACGCCAATGACAGTGTCCACACTCTCGCACCTGAGCTGCAAATCCCGGCAGAGACAATTAACTATTTGTGCAATGCTGAAGAATGTACAAGTCCAGGAGATTTTCTGAGAATTTATTTAAGTCCTTCACAGCCTGCCCTGGATTCAGGTACACTGCATACAGTTTGAGAGAAACATCAAATTTAGTAACAGAACTAGAATTTTTGTCTTGTTTTGTAACCCCGAGTTTTGAGTAACAAGAGTTTGTTACAGTGCTCCTGTAGAGGCAGAGGAACGTGGGACTACACCTGCTGATAGGGGTCATCTTCCCTGCTAAGAGATGTCTGAACAGGAAACAACTGGGCAGCCACTGGGATTTCAAACCGGGGCACCAATGAGATAGCAACTAAAATGTATTTATCATGTTGCCAAGTGCAATGTCTCTTGTCAAGACCTTTATGAAATGCAGTTTTATTTTGTAGTTAAGCCTGAAGTCTAGTTTAATAACTTCAATGAAATGTATTATGGTGTATTAAGGAATTTATAGTTTAAGTAAAATAATTCAACTAGTTATCTGAATGTTACCTCAATTAACTTGTTTCCTCTCCCTCCTTCTCATTTGCAGAAACTGTGTGGCCTGTTCCATCTCATTTCTCTGTATGATACAGGCTGTATCCGGTGTTTCTCTTCGCAGCTGGACTCGTTTGTGTTTAACATGAATCTACACATTAAAGGACAGATATTCATCCCCAGTATGCTTCTGCTACAGTCCTTAAAAGAACAAACTGAGCAGCCAGTGATCCTGAGCTACAAAGCCCAGGGACTGACTGGGTAACCTTCGGTGTGCATCGGAAGCAACGTTACTCACAAACTTGAATAAAGATGCCTTAAGTTGACAAAAGACGATCTTTAATTTTATAAATGTTCACCCAACTGACGAATCCAAACAGCTGTTTCAAAGTTCTTTCAAAATTCAACCATTTTCAATGAAAGCACAAAAAACCACTTCCACAGTTTCATCTTAAAACAGTTCCAAGTTTCACATAAACAAAAGCAGGCTTGGTTAATACAAATAACTATGAAATAAGTATTAAGTACTGATCGTTAAGTAGCAATGAAATGATTAAAGATACAGTAAATTTCCTTCTACAGTATGACAGTCCTTCAAGGCACTAGAATACATCCACAGTTTTGACAAGGCGACTGATAACCAGCAGTCGCCACCAGCACTCTGGCATTTTTTGGTTCATGTTTTAAAAAGAATCTGCAGCAAATCAGATAGGGAATGTCTCTTGCAAGGCATCTCCTTGTAATGTCTAAGAACTAGAAATAAAAGTCTAACCGTGACATTAAAAAGATTATTTCCGTAATACATGCACTTTAAATAACTACTGTTCTGCTTCTTATTTTGGAATTTCTGCTGATACCATCTGTATTAGCAGCAATTATGCTTCCTATGCACGTTTCTGCAGTAATTAATTCCTTCCATCCAGGATTTTGAAAACCATTGTTGACACACAGATCATTAAACTTCTTCTGAATGGCTAAATCACTTTCTCCGTGATGCACAAGTCAAACTCTACACAGTTTTGCCATATCGTCAAAAGAAGCTTTTCACTGTTAGGTCTGTTAGTTTTCCCACCAGGAGAGGAACCTTTGAAAAGTCTGAGAGTTTCCATTACAGAGCAGTGCTTTCCGTGTCATTGTCAATATCGAGCATGAGATGGTTGTGCAGTTCTTTGCTCGCTGTCTCTGTAAGGAGCTCTGAAGAAGGGTTTTGAAGTGGTTCTTGAATACTGGAATTAGAGTCTGCACAAAAAATGGAATAGCAAGTTTAGCAGTCTGGACAGTGACATCTCATTAGTGTATTTCTGGTGCATTTCCTTAGAAAGAAAAGGGAAAGGAAAGATCAAAGGCTTTTCAAACAGAGGGCTGGCACACATGTGCACGGGCACACATGGACACAAAAAGGCTAAGCCACACTAAAAAGCTTACGTTTGAGTTGCTTCTCCTATATACCTTTTTTTAAATTGTCTACACAATAAAGGAAAACATTTCTTTCTGAAGAATTGGAAGACAGCAAGTAAGATTTAGTATCGGATTCCTCAATGCCCCTTAGGAGTGATGCTTTCCTCCAGACACTCGCATCAAAACAGAATGGTCACTCAGCAAAAAAATTTGGCACCTAAATCATCAGCCAGGTAACCACCACCTGCAACTTTTAGAAGCAATAGGAACACGTATGGTGTCAGAAGGAGGCGTTGTCACAAGAAGGAAGAGATTATTTAAACCAAATGCAGATTAAGCCCCTTTCCTGCGTGTAACAGGAAACACCACGTGCTTTGCCCTCTTCTGACGGCAGGAGAATTTTGTTCAAGCCAAGGTGTCCAAGAAGGACCTCAAAATGTTGCACTTCTGGTGACTGACTGCACTGGTAGTTAGAAGACTAGAAAAATTCATAGTGGTTCAAAAAACGTAACTGAAAATATTGAGTCAGTATTTTGGAAAGCTAATTTATAATATGCCACAACATCACTTACTGCAATCCAGCAGCTGTTCCAAATAGAAACTCATTTAGATCACTTGAATCAATAAAGAATCCAAATAACTACTTTGCTTTCAAAGCTAGGTGGCATAGACAGGCATCCTCTACAAACTGATTCACACCTGGAGCTTAAAGTTTTAAATTTAGCCCACAAATTACTTCATAAATGTTCGAATTGGAAGTTTCCGAGGTAAATGACATGGAAGAGGTGAAAGCAGATGCAGAACTGGAGTCGGAGTGTGGCTCCGCTGCCTCTGGCTCAGCCCGTTACTGGCAAGCCAGCCAGCCTCACCCAGCTTCCAGTAACTTCCTATGCAGTGACACTGTTAATGGAGGAACTGGAACCCCATCATCTTGTGGCCTGACACCGACTGGCTTGTCTCACGCAGGGCAGTTCAATGTCCCCATCCCTACTGCTGCAACTTTCCCAAAGACTTCATTCCAGGATTCAGGTTTTCTTGTGAGGCATGAACTATACATTTCCTCCCAAGTCTTGTATCAGAGTCTCGGGGAGTACCATATTCTGCTAAGATAACATTTCAGCGATAAATGAAATCATCCAGAAGGCACAGAACAAACCATCAGTGCTGTTATGACTCATTAAACACCATCATCTCGGAGGAGTCTTTTAAATAGATTTCTCTCCCCAGCCCTCAGTCGTCACTCTGAAGTCATGTTCTGTGTACTGGGCTATACCCAGTGAACGGTGCCTTGTGGCACCTACGAGATGGTCACTGTTCAACAGACCTGTGATAGCAATGAGGAAATAATTACTGGGGCTACTTTAAAACCAGACCTTTTCACTTAGCCTCACATTTATGTGTTTTAAGTCAGTCCCCGATTCACGAAACCAAGTTTCATAACATCAGCAGCTCTCCTTTATCCCCACTATACTGCACAAATGCTGTTTCTACAACAGATGAAAATTTAAATACTTTAAAAAGTCAGTTGATTTAAACTTTAGGATTTTTTTTGGGGGGTTGTGTTTTTTTTTTTAGTCATTTTTACTGTTAACAGAAGCAATATTAAATAGAGGAACAAACTGCAACGGTGGGAACAAGCTTCAATCGTGTGAGTTCCTGAATTCTTCTTGCATTTTTCTCTTATGCAAAATGTTCCACGCTGAGCTTGGTCCCCGAAGAGACGAGCGCAGAACCAAGCAGCAGAGGCACTGCTCTCTCCCTAACATCTAAACAGCGCCCACTGTTACCTTTGAACTTTCATTTAAAGCGAGGTTCAAAAGGTGTACTTCAACTTTAGATGCAGGGCCAGACATTCTCCCTACCACGACTGCATATTGAAGGATGAATCGGAAAAGGAGGTAACAAAGCGTGAGGTGACACAAGAAAGGAGTATTTGTGACAAACACTGGTAGAGTTACTTCAAATACAAAAATGGAACTCTGGATAAAACACATGGATTTCTAGACAGGGTTTTCTTTATGCGGAAAAAGTACAATGTGATACTGGCCAGTCAAAACACGAACGACTTTACACATTCTAGTCTCCAATACTTTTAGTACGTTAATGTCAGAGCGAGCATCAAACAGCCATTCTTTTTGCATGCCACGCTAATGAGAATGCAAGCAAGCAGTGTTATTTGTGACGGGTTAGTAGTGGGCATTAGCACACACATGATTATGAATTAGCAACATTTTTGGCCAATCATATGCCTTTTCCTTACCATTGAACTTTCCAATACAGTTCCTACTGAATGCAGGTCAAACATCTAGATTATTTAATAAAATTTTTGATTAGAATATTCTTTTCTAGGGCTTATTACTTTAATACCATAAATAGAATTTGAGGCATTACGAAAGTCCAGTACACGGACAAAGGAATCAACAGTATCCTGAAAACAATTCAGAATTCCTGTTCTGGTATTACGATGTTTGCTGACAACTTAATTTTGGCTTCCATTATTCCCATCTGTCTTCTCTCGCCTCACTATTTAAGGTTAAAATTAAAACCAGCTATTTCAGGCTGTGAATTAGGCAAGTCAGTCTATAATAAGTGCTTATATGTGCACGTGTAAATGTTAGAGCAGATACTCTTACGTAAGATGCAGTGATGTTAATTCAGAACAAATATTAATCCTTTAAAAAAGATTGATCTGGGAAAGGTGGATGATCCTGCACAGAGCATACTGCTGTAGGTAAGCCTGACTCACTTCAACTGTTCCCCAGGTGGGTTTTTTTTTTTTTTTTTTCAAAACTTACTAGATTTTCTAGGTTCCTTTCTCAGTTTTGCTAGAGAATCCTTCACCACCAGCTTTCTTTTACCGGCTTTCCTGCATGGCAGCTTTCATGCTATTGTTTACCATACACAACTTATGTGGCCAATTTGCTACGGTTTGCATTTGAAAGGAATATCAAATCTCTCCAGTTTTAACAGTTTCATTTCAACATTTTTGTGTATTTACCCAGACTATAGGACAGTTGTGTACCTCTTATGCCTGTAAGTTAGCTGAAAAGGAGTCAGCACTAAGCTGTGATTCCCAGTCCATATCCAGCCTCAGTTATGCCAATCACTCCCCTATGGCAGATGCTTCGTTTGTGTAACCTAAGCTCCTCCACTAACGAAGCAGCCCCTTGCACACCAGCTGGATATTATTTAGAAGGCAAGTATTTCTCCAGTTACACTGGGGTAGAACAAATCCTGTTTGTCTGCTATCATTACAGCAATCTCCTCAGAACCAGAAAAATTCCAAAATGAAAACAAACACGGTCAACCTATGAAACACAACTTAGAAATTAAGGTTAAGTCTTTCCTTGAAGTTTGACTCATCAGCACAGTTCCTATTCTTAATTCATTTGTAAGTGCTGTAAAGATCCAGACCCCAGGCTTACCTCTGAATTCAGTTTTGAAATAAATTGCCTTTGTATTTTAAAGATACTGACAAAAAGAACAGAAGTACAATCAGGAAAATTCTGTTATTTTAAATAGCAAAGCTACTTTTTAGTTGCTTAAGCAGCTCATTTACTGCTGAGTTTCTCCACTTTAAAAAAAAACAACCTACTTCCAACTTAACTTCTCAATCCAATACTAATTTTAGTATCTTGTCTGTAAGCAGTCAAATCTTGGGATAATTCAGGAGTGCAGCCTCAACTTTTTCAGCCTGTCATGCAGTTGTTACCTTAAAAAGGTAGCATCTCTAGCCCATTACGTGTGAATAGTAAGTTTATTAACGTGTCGTTTGGCAGCTGTGATTGAACAGACTAGTACTATTAGTGAGGCTGGAGCTGACAGAATGCAAATGCAAACATGCCAGAATGCTGCTGGGTGCTTTCCTGCAAAGGGGTTTAGTCACATGAACATAAGTTTTGCCAAATAAATTCCAAGTAGTTAAAAATAACTGAAAACCTGAAGTGAAAGCTACATTAAAACGCAACCAGAAAACACTGAATCGTAGGAAAAACCCACGAGCTTCAATATTTGCCTGCACTGATGAGAACAAACCTGGTTTAAACGGGTCACTGCTTCACACTTGACTTGTGGACTAGTAGTTCTGGTGACTGTGTGTGAAGTGTTACTCACTTCATTATAGTTATTTTTACAATTTGTTTTAAGGAATAATTTAATGTTCACAGGACAATTAAAATTAAGCAGCATAGGTCTTAAAAATCTCTAACAAACAGAATGATATGTAGTAATGAGGTAACACAGAGTTGACAGAGAGCACATATTCCAAAGCGCATATACAAAATAAAGCTACAAATAAAATATTGCTGTGCAGGAGCATTTTAGCTTATATTGCATGTTTCTGGTAAGTACAAACCTTATTCGCAGTAACCATCCCCACCTGTGAAGGCATCATGGGGTAAAGCTGTTAGGCAACAGAATATATACTTTGCATTCCAATACATTAGTCTTATTCTAGAGAAGCTGCAGTGTCATTGGAAAGTTTTAACCATTATTAAATGTAAGTGGATTTAAAAGCATTAGTCTCCTACATTCATTATCTCTTCCTTCAGAATTTCCTAAAACAAGCGGAGACTCAGCAGGAGAGTATTTCAAGATCTGCTAGTTTTGACTGTCCTCAGCACTTACCTTCCCCCACCCCCAAGACTTAAATTAACATTATCCCTACCAAACTAGTAACCACGAGCTTCATGAAGCTCCTGAGAGAAGACAGAAGGTTTCTCTTTGCTGCACAAATGGCTTAAAACACAAAAAGGCAGCTGCATTTAAATTATGAATACCTATCTAGAAATTGACTTAAGATGTACGGTTTAGCCTATGTGATTCTTCAGCTTCTGGATGTCCACCTTAAAAGCACATCAGAAGACTGCATTCTCATAAGACAAAACATTTACCGTGTCAGTATCTTGTCTATTAGAACATGTATCAGTGACCACTTTTCCCATTTTCTTCTGTATGTGCTGAAATACACTATCCTTGGCTACATCTTCTCCCTCCTCCAAGTATTTGCTTTTTGGCAACAGATGCAATAAGCATAATTGAGACTGCCATGATGCTGAGAGCCTGGAGAAAGCCCTAGAGAGATGGTTGCTATAATAGTGTTTTGCTTCCAAAGAAGGGAAAAAATAAAGCAAGCTAATCTACACTTTCCCCCAATCGCTTCTGCCTCAGGAATGAAAATCTTCACTGAGGAAGTGCCCCAAATCCTCATGCACAGAACCAGGTGAGTGGGCATTTTAACTGGAAATGAGTAATTTAGTATTTTAACTGTTATTTATGCCCCCAAATTAATTTACAGTTACAGGCATTATTTTCTTCATTTCCACTCTCTGAGGAGACACCGAATATGAAAGAATCCACTCACCTGTTACTATTTTGGAAGCCGTTTGCGTGGGATTTGCAATAATACCATCTCCAGCCAGCTGAGAAGGAGGATGAGGCGGAGGGGGAACACTAGGTCTATTTCTGGGTTTTGGTACCGGCCGTGGCCTCGGCAGCGTTCCACTCTGAGGTGGAGACTGAGACTGAGAGGTCTCTTGAGTAGATGGCTGTGGCTGTGACGATGGGGAACTAGCGTTATGTTTTCCTAGAGGGGGAGTATCGGGCGGCGTTGGAGTCTGCGGAGGAGTGTAACAGGGCTGCTCTGGTCCATGCTCACTGCTGGGTGCAGCAGGAGGAGATGCTTGACTGGTTGATTTGGGCTGCGGGGGAGGAGTAGCCTGCGTTGGGGGCTGTGGTGGTGGATGGCTGGGAGCTTGTATCGGGGAAAGGCTGCTGGAATATCTCCGAGGTGCAGAAACCTGGGAAGCGGAGGTCTGGGGTGCTCCTTGGTTCGTATGTTGAGTGGGAGGAGAAGAACTTCTAGCTGGTGGTTTTGGAGAGATAGAAGGTGGCTGAGCAGCTGGGGCAGAACTTTGGCTTCCCGGCTGCCCTGGCGGTGGGTTGGCTGGCTTGGGAGGGGCTGGCGCAGGCTTTTTAACAGCTGGTAAGAGAAGAGGTGAGATTTCACGGTCGTGTATTGTAAAACCAAAATCCCCAAAGAAAGAAGTTAGTAGCACAAAAGAATACTCAAGTAGATTATAAAAATAAAATGGTGTGTTATCAAAGAAAAGCTGTATCAATAGGAAGCTACAGAAACGTGTACGCAGGTTGACTAAATCAACAGCTTTTGCTGTTAAACAGCATTGGCAACATTACTACCACCATTTATGAAAGAGTCCATAAGTCAAAGATGCATTTATAGCTAGGCCTTAGCAAAATGCAAGAGAATTAAACTGTTGCCTGTAATAAAGGGAGAGTTACTGATAAGTTCTTTTAATAAGCATTTTGCAGTACATAAAGAATTGGAATTTAGTGGCTTGAAAACCAAATGAAAAACACACCTCTCCTCATTGAATGGGGACTGGGACCTGCCGCATTCTGTGGCTGATTAACAGAAAGCTGATTACTGCTACTTGTTGACTGGTTCTGGCCAGTGCCCGCGTGCCCACCATTTCTCACGGGTGGAGGAGTAGCTGAAGACGTATTGTCCTTAGATTTGGAGGTGCTGAAAATTAAAAATTCTAAATTAGAAGATGACTGTAAAGAGCCTTGCCTACATCAGCTGCACCCGTTCAAGCTTACATTACGAACTGTGCTATAGTTGTGACCCTCAAACGCGTCAGAAAAACTTCTGCGCTGGCTGGTATTTACTGAGACTGAACAGTGTTACAACTCTTCAAATAAATGGCAAGGAGGATTTTGGCAAGCCTGTACAGACTATTAATTACCAAAGCTAAATCAGGAATCCAAGTAGTTCTGCAGTGTCACAGTACCTGTTTGAATGCAATACTGACACCTAGGAGTGCAGTCTCCATGCTAACATACCCTCCGTGCATTTCCAGATCCTTTAAAAACAGACTCCCAGCATGAAAGTTCATATAAAATGTTTTTCAATTTCCTCATTCAAATCTATCTATCACCCCTGTAACTGTTAGCCTTTGCAAAATATTCTGTCCCAGCACCACATCCAATTCGCTGGCAGTTATTTGGTAGGCTTAGCTACTAAGGATCAAGTGATGATGGCAATCTGTGAAGTTCTGCCAGAAAAAAACCCAAAAGAACATGAACCAACTTGCTACATATGGTATACAGGCGAGGCAGTCCTCACCGCTGAAGTCCCGGGGCTCTTCGGAAGCCCTTGGGAGGGCTCAGGGACTGCAAGAGCTGGGTGTGGAGAGAGCAGAGGTGCTTTTCCCATCGCTGGCTGGCTGAAGTCTTCTCTCCACCCTACCTGGAATTTTTACCTTGCTGGGAGACTAGAATTTGTCTCAAGGGAGCAACCTCTGCAAAACTTTTGAAATTCAGAACAGGACAACTCAGCTCTTCCTGACCTTTCACTATGAAGACAATAGAACTCGGGGGAAACACAGCGCTGGAGTATGAACCAGCCGAGGTGGTACTGGGCAGTGCCCCCTCCTCTTGCTATGCACTCGCAGTCTTCACTCTTTTCTCTACAGTCTCTTGCAGCATCTTACTCACTGCAAAACAACTAACACCTTTCACCCACTTTTACTGGCACACTGCAATCCTAATTTCTCCAGATGCTGTTAATAAATTGCAATTACTTGAACGCAGAGTTTGTGCAGATTTTAAATGAGCTTTTAGACACTAGTCTCAAAGTTTTGTTTTAGCTGCCTATGCCACAAAAGACATCTGTGGAGGAAACATTAGTCTGCAGGGGATTTCCGAATGAGAAGTTGTTTTTGTAAAAGTGTCACCTGATAACAAAAGCTATATGCAAAAGAGTCAATGCTACATGGAACTCCACGGTGGTGGATTACCACAAGATGCGATGCAAGAGGTTGATGCATGGAGAGCACTACAGGCCTTTATAGGTGGTTTGTTACATCTCTTAGACCACAAAATATTGAAAGCAAAGTGCTGCTTTCACCATACATGAAAGGAAGAGTCAAGGTTACTGCCATTAGTCTTGGAGTCCATGTATAATAATACTGGGGACATGATTGCACGAAGTTTCAATAATAATTAAGTAGCAAAAAAGCCTGTACACATGCTTCTTCTAAAGAAACCAATATTGCAATATGATAAACTGACTTCTAGTTTTCTAGCAAGCAAGTCTGGTCATCACTAACACTTGCTACAGACAAAAAAAAAAAGACATATCCAGATAACGTGTACAAGAAACAAACAAGACCAACACTTTTCTAGTATTGCCAATGGGAGGTTTTGTTCTTTCAGCAGCAAACTGATAGTCATATTGTGTGGACACCTCTAGAGCATGACTTGGCAAGGTCAACGTGGGTAATAGTACATTCTTTTTTAGTATTTTTCATTATCATTTTCCCCCCCAGAATTTTCTTATTTTAGAAGATCAGTTCTGGAATTCACAGAACAATGTATGTTATTTTAGAAGATCGATTCTGGAACAATACACATGACAAGAGAGCTCTTGCATAGTGCTTCTGCCCACGTCTGAAAAGGCTTTACACACGTTACAAAATGCGTTCCAGTTAGAAGAAATTCCTTGTGAACCAGATACAGTTGACACCATCAGTTTGCTGCTGAAGTAGCCTGCTAAGCCACTGCCAGCAGAAGCCATGCCTCTTACCTGACATCCTCATTTCCTTGACTTTGTAACTGTTCTGCTGTGCCAGCAGAGAGAGCAAAACCAGCACCCACTGGGCTTGTTTCAGCCACAGAAGCTTGTGAGTGCTGCTCCGCTCCAGACTGAGCCAGCACGCCAGCCTCCGTGGGTGGAAGTGGTGGCTGGAAAGCTGGGGATGTGTGCTTTCTATTTATAGTGCCACATCTCCGAGGATTCGCTTGGAAGTCCATAACCTTGACACCAAAGCTACAGAAAGAAGAGAGAATAAACACACCACGCCAGCCAACACCAGGTAATTAAAGCAACAGGACAACTGCATGTTATAACCCACAAAGACAAACGCAACCCCTGTTGCTTAGCATGCAAAGCAGCAACAAGGAAAGCTTCAACTTTCTGCATATAACACCATTAATGTTAAGACATGCAACACCATTTGGCTTATCCACACAGAGGGGTAAGCTAAACGTAAGTGGAACAAACTACTCAATTACATTTGAAGACAGACATTGATGACAATGAAGTCAGACCACTCAGTAATTTTACATGTAAACACATTCACATTTCCTTAGATACTAGAGTATCTCTTCACTGACTATATTTTGCCACGTGAATTTTGGCTGTATTACACACTAAGTTGCAGTACAGATTTCAAGACAGACAAAAAAGCCACCGGATACAAGCTACAATTTGTGTTTAAAGGAGAACTACGGATAAACCGACTAAAATTCTAACAGATTTTAGAGTGCATACAGCACATTCATTCTAGAATTTAATATTATTCTTGTTGTGTTAAAGACAACGAATCTTGAACTGATTTTCTTCTTTTGCCATTGCTGATAAATTTGCATGTGGCTAGCCATAGTGAACATTCAGGTAACAATTTAACATTTGCATAAACAGCTAAAAACAAAACAGCACACCACTTGAATATTCATGATATGAGTGATAATAAATGAGCGTTACACTACATGTTATATGGGAAAACAGCACGTTTTATTTTCTGTTTTTTAGTGTTCTACTGTTTGCTGTGGTATACTGTACCATCATCAACTCAGAAGTCTTATCATGAAGGCACCAGGTAACACCACCTCAGCTTATGGGCTTTGAAAAAGAAGCCATGGGATATCAGAAGTTAGATACTGATAGATGCTACTATATACACTTCTGTTGCAGTGGATTTTAGACCCCCCAAATCTGTAACAGGAAAACGGTACTGGACGCAGTAATTATCTGCTTGTGGTTTTTATCATGCACAGAATATAACTGGAAGCAAATAGCAGTACTTTACCTTTCAATTTTCCTCAGGCTGCAACAACATGGGGGGGAAATAAATCACTATTGTTACCTATAATATTTCCATGAAATTCTTCTCCTGAGACCACTAAAAGTGTGTCTGATTACAGCCGCCTCAGTAGTCCTGTTCTCAGGAGTGGGCTAATAACTGAAACCTAAGCCGAGAACGAAACATACCTTTCCTTCTTCAATAAATCCCCTTCCATTACAGTCATACTAACAGGTCTCTTCCGTTCCAGTGTCCCAGATTCATATTCATTCCCAGTGTGAGACAAG